ACTGCATTTTTCTAAAATATGAAGTAAATTATCCCTCTTCACTAACCTAAAGGGAACTCTAAATGTATTTTTATTATAATGTATCCAGTAGACAGATTATAGTGTCTTTGTCACTACGTCTATTGAGATGAAATAATTCTTGTATCAGGTTTCTTAAAAAAAACACCCACTTGAGTTGCCCGTGCTATGAGGGAAGAAAATATCGCCACACAACGACAGCGTGGGATACGCAAGCAGCGGCACTTGGCTGTTCCAACGATCACCGCGTTGGCCTGGCTTGGGGAGCTTACTGTACAAAAATCCGCGCTGTCGATATACTGTCTTGCATGCAGATTGTGAACTCAACAGTTCCAGGACGGGCTGTCCATGCCTCTTTTGTGTGGCACCTCGTGATTCACAAACATGAACTGGGTGTGGGGTGTTTGTTTCTAACATTGGTTCGATTTACGAAATACAGTTTAGGATGACTTTGTAGTCCTGTTACTCCTTGCTTCTCAGTTTGTTGTGACCATCGTGTTAGACAACAGGATGGTTCCATTTCCTCCCGTAGCATCTCTGCTCCCTAGGAGTTTTATGACTGCAAAAAGGCACTTCAAGTCTGGTGAGGCTGGTGAAATAAGTGTGCGGTTTCTGCGCTGAGTGGTATTCATCTTTTACCCTGATTCGGGCAGGTGGCGCGCAAGATGTCCCGGTACAGACACTGCATTTTGTGACTTAGCTGGGCGTGGGATGTCATGTCAGCAAGAATGCCTTCAGTTGTGCAAGTGCAATGCAGACGATCAGATCCTCAACTGCATGACGTCATTATCACGTGAAACACTGTGATTACTGGTTAAAATTGACCACGCACCTCGGAGCGAATAATCAGCAGCACCAAATCACAAGGGTCTGTATTGCACTGTACATTGTACACTGTGGAGATCGGTGCATCGTGTTAGGATATATCGTTCCTTCCGGCGTTCGTGTGAGTCATGCTGGAACAAGGAGGATGGCAGGCCTCTCAAACCACGCCGGACTTGTGACTGACTGCTGCTGATTGGCTCTTGCCTAGCAGCAGAGGGCAAGCAAGCGGCCATTATCTCCGATACTCAGATTTTGCCTGAGCGCGTTCTCAGGTGTAATCAACCTGGACTTTCTCAACGTTGATTGGTCGTCGCGTTTTAGTAACATTTTTCACGCTGGTCGAACTCATTAGAAAGTAACAAAAACAAAACCGTCCAGTTTACCCTCCCGACCTGGATATATGTACGGAAATTAAGGTGAAGGTAAAGGAGGGGGGGAAGCCCCTCTGGGTGTTACCCACACCTGGCTGTCGGTCGTAACCCGCCTCCCCATTTGTTTACACTCCTCGCTGGGTCAACGAGGTTGTTCTATCCACTCCCAGATGAGTAGCTATGTAGCCCCTTCTAGTGGGGGTTGGCGGAATACGCCGCAGGGGGGATTTGATCCCGATACCTCATATTTCAGAAGTGAACCAGCTACTCGCTGGACCACTTCAGGATGTACGGAAATTAAGGTAGTAAGAGAATGAAGCCCACAGAATTCACTTGGTAGTGCTTAGTAGCGCAACCGACCGCTAAACAACGCTACCGAAAGCACTAGACGACGCTACCGAGACCTATTTGGGCATGGCATAAAAACAAAATGAAACCCCTAGGGAACCTGGATGCATTTTCGAGAGGGGTCAACCCTAAACACGGAAGTGGGAATTGTTTTTAGGGTTGATGCATCCCCGAGTCGCATCCCTTTCCGAGGTGGGTATTATTATTTTTTGTCAAGTGGGTTACAATATGTTTTCCAAAATATTTGGAGGCTTTCGGTGTTCAGGGTTGATCCTTCCCGGAAAACATATAGGCTCGCTACGGGCATTATATTTATTTATTGCAAGTGCTAGACTTCCTCTTTTTGAGTGACTGTATACAAACATGAAACAGAATAGATTCACACTATATCGAGAAACTGGGTTTCTGTTGGTGTTTACACCTTAGAACGCGCTCATGAAAAATCTGAGTATCGGAGATAATGGCCGGGCAAGCAAGTGCACAGTTGTCACGGAGCATCGCGAGCGAAACCTCGTGACACCACGGAATTTCGGGATTTCTGGGTCGGCCGGGTTGTTTCTGGATTATCCAGACTTAATGGGCTGAATTGTGCAATGGAAATGTCAGGCTCTAGTGAACCTCGTACGAGGTGTTGCGTGCTGAGCGACATGGGTGTGGTACGTACTTGGAAACGCTCTATGTTATGAGGATTTGTTTCGTAAAATCGCCAAAATGGGGACAAAATAAATAGAGATGGGACCGCTGTGCACGCTCGACAAGGCAGTGACCAATAAACGCGGATGCATCCGCGAAATATGCATGAAATGATTGCCTGCGTCAGCAGTAGCTTTTGCCCCAAACCAGCATTCACTTCACTGTCCATTATTATCCAAACCCAGCACCTAGTGTGTGTGGATAGCAAAGGTTTTGGAAGTGTGGGTCCTTCATTCCTAAGTGTAGCAGATGTTGTCCACGCGAAGATCATAAGTGGATCCCTCGTACTGTAGTGCCACGGAAATAGGCTGTCACCTCACCATTCAAAGCCACACTCGTTCCAGGCTTGCACGCGCGCCTCACGACACGTCACGTCCCTCCCACACAAACCAAATCACCCTACCATCGCGAACGCTGGGTTTTGATCTGAGCAGTGTTTGATGATACTCGTAGGGACATTTACTCTGAGAAAAAAGAATTGTGGCTTCCGCAAATTCCCGCTTTCGCAAAAAGCAACGTGATCCGCCCGCGGACGGATCACGAACTGATTTATAATTTCACTATTTACCCATAGCAGCAAATCGGACACTCTGGCAGAAAATGGTAGTCAGCCTTTGGAATTTGAGAGTAGCCTAAACTGTACAGTTCCATTCATTCTAAGACTTGCGATTTGTTTTGTTGTACGCCACACTGAATCACTGCTGGGAACGGAAAGACCACCACAGGCAAGCAGCAAATGCAATGCAAGCAGCAGCCCCCAAACGCTACTCTATGTTTCTGAGAGGAGGCCACACAAGTTGCGCCAGTTTTTTCTATTTGTGGCTGTTCCCCAGGGATTCGTGAGTCTCATCCCTCACTAGTGGCAACTGAGGAGCAGAATGGCCAGTTGGACTCAGAGAGCTCTCAAGCTGCATCGCCTGGCCGTATAGACTCTGTTTGCCTGCCAAAATCATTCAGTCAGCGTGCAAATGTCATAGTGGAGCTGATAGCTGTTTTTTCCGCGATCTCTCGTGGCCAGCATCTCCGTGGCGTCGTCAAACCTATAGAAGTCCTTGCTTTCTTTTTCTTCGCCATTCTGTCATAAAAGAAGTGAGCCGAAGACCGAAGAATGTAACTCAGGCTGAAAGGGAATAGAGTCCTCAGAGGAGTCCTCAGAGGAAATAGAGTTTATTAATTGGCATGTGCTTGATCTGGATCCCAAAAAGTTCCGAAGACTCTTCCAGTGCCAAATTTTCACAGCAGTGACATTTGGACTGCGACGCATCATCCCCAACCGTGACGGCGTCACGCAGACGTAACAAGCGCCGCGGGAGCTTTCTGCGTGACAAGATCTATATGAAGAGAGGCGCCGCGCGCGCGTTATCACCAAACGGCGCCGTGCCCTTGCCGTTTGTAAGCCGGCCGCAGGCGGCGTTACCACCACACCATTGGCAATCATGGTGATTCCTTCACCATCATCACCGTCATCATCGCATGATCATTATGTCCGATCCGATGCGCAACCGCTGCCAGCGCCGCTACTAGCGGCGCGTAATCCGGCGGCGCTGCAGCTGCACGACGAGTCACTGCCAGTGCAGCAGCAGCGGAACCAAGCCGCTGGCGCCGGCTCTACCGCCATCGCCGGCGCAATCCCCGTGGTACAGTCGGCGCTCTTCTCTGTGGACCCTTATCTGGACGCTGCCGCCTCCTCCGCCGCCTCTGCGGCCGCCGCCGCCGCCGCCGCAGCCGCGGGCTCCGCGGGCGCCGCCGCGAGCGCAGCTCCCGCCGTCGGGCCAGCCAGGGGGAGCGATTTTTTGCAGAATCCGCCAATTCTCTCCTTCAAATCTCTCTTTGAATCCGCTCCGCGGCCACTGGGAGACCCTCTTGCCTTAACGGATCTCCCTTTACCGGAGCAAACCGGATGGCTTTCCTCCTCCTCCTCCCTCTCCACCATGCACATCGTGACGTCAGCGGCCTCTCTCCTTCCTTCCCCTTTCCTCCTCCCTTCTCCTATCCTGCCTTCCCCTGTCCTCCCCTCCCCAGTCCTCCCTTCCCCAGGGGCTCTTCCTTTCCCTCTCCTCCATTCCCCTGAGTTTATCCCGAAAACGCAAACGACCCAAAAAACAAACCACGATTTCAGCCAGCCTACTCCTCCTCCTCCCCGTCCTCCAACCTTTCCCCCTCCCCCTCCAACTGCTTTCCCTCTCCTTGACACACGTCTGGCCACGTCAGCAGGTGTTGGATCCAGGTGCTGGGTGGCAGAGAGCGAGGTTGCTCCAGGCGGCGAGGCCTCGGCAGGTTCTGGTTCCGGGCGGCATCGTTTGGAGACACTATCATTGCTGCCGCCCAGCCCAGCACGTGGCACTGTTCCCATCTCTCGTGATGGCACTGCTGCGGCTGCTGCAGTTCCCGCCCCGTTACAAGGACGCTCGTTACAGTCACAGACAGTACCTGCAGTGTTGGAAGCATACTCGGGAAGGGATGATGCAGTACCCAGAAACGCTCCTTCTCCTCGCCTGCTGAATCTCTTTGGGACCCAGTCAGACGAAGACTGTATAACCCAAAGGGGAGATGGAATAAGAGTAGGGGAAGGAAGGATACGGGCGGGGGATGTGGAAGGGGAGGGGAGGATAAGGGAAGGGGAAGGAGATGGGGTGAGAAGGGGGGTAGAAGGGAGGGCAAAGGAGAGAAAAGGGAGGAGAAGCGAGGGGGAAGAGAGGACAAGAGAGGGAGAGGGGAGGAAAAGGTTCAGGGGTAGTGGTGTTTCTAAAGATGATGAAGAGAGGACGGATGAGACAGGTTGGGAGGGTGCTGCGAGGAGGGATAACGAGGATAGGAGAGTGGTCATGAGGGGGAGCATGGGGATGGATGAAAAAATGGGTACTGGCATGGGTACAGGCATGGGGACAGGCATTGGCACGGGCATGGGGAGAGACATGGGGAGAGACGTCACAGGGATGGGGGGCAGAGGTGTTACAATGACTGAGGGTGATGCTAAGGCAGCAGCAGAAGCTGCTGCTGTGGCTGCTTCTGCAGGGTTGTCGTACCTGCAGCAGCGAAATCAACTGTTGCTGCTTCGGCAACTGAGGCAGCAACAGCAGGAGCAGCAAGAGCAGCAGCAAGGGCAGCAGCAACAACAACATGAGATGCAGCAGCAACAAGCCTTGCTGCTGAGAGCTCAGGAGCAAGCTGAGAAGCAGCAGCAGCAGCAGCAGCAGCAAGCCCTGATGCAGAGAGCTCAGGAGCAAGCCGAGCAGCAAGCTGAGAAGCAGCAGCAGCAGCAGCAGCAGGAGGAGGAGCAGCAGCAACAGCAGCATAGGCAGCATGAGGTGCTGCAGCAGCAAGCCTTGATGCAGAGAGCTCGGCAGAAAGCTGAGAAGGAGAAGGAACAATCGCAGCAGGAGCAGAGTCAAAGGCTGGAGCATCAGCAGCAGAATCAGTGGCTGGAGCAGCAGCAACAACAACAACAGCAGCAGCAGCAGCAGCAGCAGCAGAAGCAGCACCAAGCCCTGATGCAGAGAGCTCGGCAGGAAGCTGAGCAGGAGAAGGAGGAATTGCAGAAGGAGCAGAGTCAGAGGTTGGGGATTCAGCAGCAGCTGATGAAGCAGCAGCTACTGTTTCTGCAGCAGGGTTTTGAGGAGCGAGAAAAGCAGCGGCAGGAGGTGCAGGCAGCAGGTCTGGAGCAGGCACAGAAACAGGAACAAAAACGGGCAGAGCAACAGGCAGCACAATCACTCTCACAGCAACAGCAACAGCTGCAGCTGCTTCTTTTGAGACAACTGGAGGAGCAGGCAAGACAGAGACACGAGGGGCAGGAAGCAGAACAGCAGGCACAGCAGCAGGCACAGCAACAGACACAACAGCATGCAGCACAATCGCACGCACAGCAACAGCTGCAGCTGCTTCTTCTGAGACAACTGGAGGAGCAGGCGAGGCAGAGGCAACAGGGGCAAGAATCAGAGCAGCAGACACAGCTGCAGGCACAGCAACAGACACAACAACAGGCAGCACAATCACACGCACAGCAACAGCAACAGCTGCAGCTGCTTCTTTTGAGGCAACTGGAGGAGCAGGCGAGGCAGAGGCAACAGGGGCAAGAATCAGAGCAGCAGACACAGCAGCAGGCACAGCAACAGACACAACAACAGGCAGCACAATCACACGCACAGCAACAGCAACAGCTGCAGCTGCTTCTTCTGAGGCAACTGGAGGAGCAGGCGAGGCAGAGGCAGGAGGAGCAAGAAGCAGAACAGCAGGCCCAACAGCAGACACAGCAGCAAGCCCAGAAACAAGCACAGCAGCAACAGCAGGCAGAATTTCCAGTGCAATCGGCTGAGCGACATCAGATTCAATCAGTTGAGCAGCATCAACGCACTCAGGTCCTTCTGAGTGAGCACGCTCAGGCCCTCCTCTCCTCCTGGTTTGGAGTATCAAATTTCGCTCCCTCTGCAGCTGCTGCTGCTGCCGCTGCTGCCACTGTTGCCACTGCTGCCGCTGCTGCCACTGCTGCTGCTGCTGCTGCTGCTGCTGCCAATGCTGCCACTGCTGCTGCTGCCACTGCTGCCACTGCAGCAGAAGTTGATTCAATCCCAGGACTCACAATAAGGTCAAATGCTGCTGCCACTGGTTCAGGTGGTGGTGGTGCTGCTGCTGCTGGTGCTGGTGGTGGTGCTGGTGGTGGGACCGTTTCAGTTTCATCTGGTGCTGGTTTCAATGCCCCGCCTCATGCTGCCGCCCAGCATCCAGCTCAGCTTCCCTTGGACCGTCTTCCTGGTATGCCGGGGCAGCGGCCGGGCGGGTATTCTTGTCCTGTCTGCGGCAACGTTTTCCCCACGTCGCAGGCGCTTGGGGGACACATGACGTGCCACGTGGCACGACGTAAGAGGACGTCTCGAAAGGGGGAGCCTGCTGCAGCAGCAGCATCGGCGGCTAAAGCAGGACTGGCAGGAGGGAAAGGAGGACTGAGAGGAGTAGGTAGAGGTGGGGAGGGAGGAGGAGAAGGGAGGGGAGAGAGAGGGGGAAGGGAAGGGAGAGGGGGAGGGGAAGGCAGAAGGGAAGAGGGAAGGGAAGGAGGAGGGGAAAGATGGGGAGGCAAAGGAGCTCCAGAAAAGCTATTTGAGAAAGCAACAGGGGGTGCTGGTGGTAGTGCCAAAGCCAGTCCTTTCCAATCCCTCCCCACTCTTCCCTCGCAACCCGCTTCATTCTCCCCTTCCAAGCGCAATGCAACCGTGATGCACCTCCCTTCCACTTCTGGTGCCAGCAGTGCCAGCGCTGCTGCTGCTGCTGGTGCTAGTGCTGCTAGTGCTAGTGCCGCTGCTAGTGCAGGTGGTGCTGCTAGTGCTGATGCTAGTGCTGCTGCTAGTGCTGGTGCTAGTATTGGCACTCCTGCTGCTGCCAGTTCTGCTGCTGCTCGCGGGGGTCGATCTCGGTTCACAGAAGCATCACAGCGTGGAGTGTCCACTGCTGTTGCTGCTCCTACTTCTGCTTCTGCTCCTGCTGCTGCTATTTTATCGATTCCGGAGCTACTGGAACGTAATCCAATCCGGGGCGCAAGCCTGGGCCGCAACCCAAGTCTTAACCTCAGTCCGAACCTCGGCCAACGCCCGAGCCTGGCAGACGGAGAACCGAGCCTGTTGCAGTACGTTGGGTCACTGCCTCGTCGTGATGCCCTGCCTTCACTGAAGCCAACCTCGTTAGAATCACCTTCATTTAGAGCACCTTTGTTCGCGCCTCCTTCTCTGATACCTCCTTCATCAATATCTCCTTTATTAGCACCCCCTTCAACTGCTATAGTGAGCACGGAGATGACAATCCCGCCTTCCACATTTCTAGCTACGGCTCTTCATACTGCAGCAATGGGAATTCCGTTACACCTAAGAACAGTCTCCACTGAAAGGGCTTTTAACGAGGACGCTAATAAGGCATACACTGGAATGGCTTCTACCGAAGAAGCTACAGGAAGAGGAGGGAGGGAAGAGACTGGGAGGGGTGCCGAAAGAGGGAATGGAAGTGGGAGTGGGAGAGGGAGAGGGAGCGGGAGCACAAGAGGAGCAATGGATACAGAAGTAGCTCCTGCTTTAGCTACTGTGGATACTCTGACTCAAATCAGTCATGCTGATGCGGCCTTGCAGACTGGGGTGAGACAGGGTGAGGATCTGGAGGGATTGGAGCTGACTCTGCTAATGAGACCTGCGTCACAGAGCTCTGCGAATGCAAATGCCGAGAATGTCAACACTGCGAATGTCATCCCTGGGAATAAACAAGAGGAAGCAGGGATAGGTTCGCTAAACACGAGGCAGAGGCAGAACTCGTAGTATGCTTCTGACTCTCGAGATTAGCCTTATGCAATGTCATGAAATTCAGCAATATATAAAAGGTCAGTAGGAGGTGAAAGAAGGCTTTGCCAATTTAGAGTGTTCTTGTTTCTATGACCTGAGTTGAATGCATAATTAGTGAAAGTCTGTCCTTCAAACTGCAACATCTACATATTCCACAATGCATAGATGTGGTTACGGTGTTCAAGTAAGAAATTTGACACTGCCTAGACTTGGTTGTACATGTACAGCACCGTGCTGAGAATGAAAATCGCTAGTGCGTACAGGTGAGTGCGACATTGTGTGTTTATAAGCGTTTGTTATGGGACCGTTTTAGACGCGTTGCTTCCAGATTAACCGGCTTGTCAATACAGCGAATGTCAGTGATGCGCAAAACAGGGTGTACATACACCCACTGTGTTGCTCGTAGCATGAGGAGCGTTGGATATGCAAGCAGCGGCGCTTGGCTGTTCTAACGATCACCACGCTGGCTTGGCTTGGAGAGATTTATGTAAAGGAATCGCGTTGTCGATTTAAAGCCGTGGCCCAACTATCAGCTTCAACTTCGAAGTGTTATAGCTTGGAGCTTGGTTGTCCCAGGCAATTCTGTGGCGAGAAGTTTGTCTTTAACGAGAGTCCATCTTTTTTTATCCAATAAGGGTCTCGTTACGCACACTCCATGTTTGTCCTGCTACTGTTCCTAAGAAGTTGCACCCCGCCTTTAACGCTGCGATGGGCTGTCGATGCTGTCTTATGAGGTAGAACCTCGTGACACACGCAAATAACGGTGTAGGAAGGTGAGTAGGCAAGGTGCAGGAGGTGGGAGGCAAATGAAAGGGATTTTCGAATTAGCTAAATTTGAAGAACCCGAAACCCGAAACCCCTGCGCATCAGTTTCGGTTCCATTTTCACAAAAGAAAATCAATGCTCTACGAGTCTTGTTTAGAGTGCGCAGTCCAATAAGCTCGGAACTGTGAATCGTATTTTCTGGGTGGAAGCACTTCAGAATGTGCTTGGTGGGTGGTGTTGCGTTGTCTCTGCACACCAGGTGTAGCCTAGAAGCAGAAAGAAACAACAGTTCTACGCGATCTAGCCAAATGGTTTTCCAACACCACCCTACCCCGGGCATGTGATATTTCTGTGAGGACACGCTACAGTACTTAATGTTTTGACAATAGCTGGGTGTGTACAGCTGCATGGTGCACAGATGCATCAGAGAGCACTCCAGGCGATCAGATCACGAACATCGTGACGTCACTACCACGTGACACACTGTTAGTGATAGGCTAATATGAGCTCGCACGTGAACACAAAAATATTATGATAATGTGCTGGGGATTCTGGTTTGCGGGTTCGGATACGTTCGCGTCATTTTGGAACCAGGAGAATGGCAGGCCTCGCAAACCACGCTGGACTCCGTAATATCCACGTGGATTGACTGCTGCTGATAAGAGCGTGTCCGAAATGAAGCGTCGAACGGATGTCGATGGATGTCGGTTAATTTCTACCCTCGGATCGAGAGTTCCAACCGTCAAGATTTACCGACATCGGATGTCGACGGATATCAACTTCACTTCGGACCCGCCCTAAGCTGTTCCGCAGCAGGGGGCATGATATTGTACACTCATTTCTCAACCTGCTCACCTTTCGCAATCGCTGAATACATTACTTGTTTATTGCATGCAGGTGGCATAAAGCGTACCTTGGAACCCACAGGCAAAGCCGCATCGGGTGACGGACTGGCTCTGGGGCATAATATTACCCTTATCGCCGGATACCATTTCCAACCGTTGTTTTCAGCGCTAATGTGCTGCTTGGGTAACGTGCATCACCTCAATTAACCGTTTTTCTACAAATTGTTCTGAAGGTGGTGGCGTTCTGCAACTCGTTTACGTTGTGCAACCATAAGCTCTGCTAGCGCAAATGAGGGTGTACAGTATTCTTGCGAAGCACTGAGACCACGAAACCCCTAGTGCATCTGGGCATTACGAAAAACTGTGCAGAATATGGATCAAGGTTTGCATTGCACAAGGTTGTTTCTGGAAGGTTCATTCGGCTGCCAGCGTCAGCTGGGATGAATTGTGCGAACTGCACCAACTTCCCCTCGATAGAGAATCTCGACTCTGTACAAAATGCCCCTCAGTGTTGCATACACGACGCGAATGTTGTACTCACTCGCAAATTTCATACACTGAGGTACGTGAAGTAAGGGCGTGTTACCTCAAAAATCAAAAAAAATCTTGGTTCGAACAAACAATAGGTACACGCTTCGCGGCTTCTTGTGAGGTCTTCGCCAAGTCTCCGTTAGCTCGGCCAAAAAGTCGCTAAATTGCACAGATCTGTCACGTCCAGCATGAAACATCGTTTGCTGTTCGAATGAGGCCGTTCGGACAGAATGATATAGAGCACCTGCGACGCCTGCGACCAAAAACGAATAACTGATTTTGTAACTGGCGATTCCTAAGTTTCTCTCGTCATGAATCAAAACCATCTAGCGATGGTTGTGGGACGTCGTCTGTTGGGCGACGTCGCGTGTTCGATCACCTCTGTCACCTGACGTGACAGCCTGTCACATTTCACCCGATTTTCACATCTTGTTCGACCATCAGAAGACACACAGATGAGAAAATGAGAACGAGAATGAATGAACTATGAATGAACTGAGTACAAATACTAACCCTAATTGGGTTGTACCCCTTGTGGACTACCCCACTATAGCATACACAATATGCAAAAGCTATATGTTCTGACACACCCCCATAGGCAAAGTGGGGGAGAACAAGGGGTCACAAGACCAGTCAAGCAAAGCAAAGCAAAGCAAAGCAAAGCAAGCTCAAGGTGGATCACAAAGTCACCACACAGTCCGAGCACAAGGTCAAGGCCACAAGGCCAGTTCACATGAAGGGGTAGACAGATGTATATAATGCTAAACAAGCAAGAGCAGGTATATATATATGCAAGAGTACAAGCAAGGTCAAGAGGTGAGCAAGTGAGGCAAGACTGGGACAAGTCCCAGCTGAGTGCAGAAGCGCTGATGATCACAAGGCGGAAGTGCCTAGGTGAAAACATCAGCAGTGTTGGCCTCAGAGGCCACGTACGCAAGTCGCAACTGACCACGCTGCTGCAGCTCACAAGCAAGAAAGTAGCGGAGAGCAATGTGCTTCGTTCTGTGCTCCAGGCGCTGCTCACGACACAAGGCCAGCATGGCCTTCTTGTCTACGTACAGCACTGGAGGAGAACGAGGCGACTCTCCAAGGTCGGTCAGCAGGTAGGTGAGCCAGCGAAGCTCCTGTGCAGCCATGGCCCCGGCGTAGATCTCAGCCTCACATCTGGAGCCGAGAACAGAGGACGAGCGAGTAGCCCGCCACGAAACAGAGCCAGAACCAAGACTGAAGGTGTAACCCTGGGACGACCGCTGAGTAGCCTGGTCGTCAGCCCAAGAAGCGTCCGCGTGCCCAGTGAGGACCACTGGACTCCGCCCTCCAAGCACTAGCCCCATGCCCGAAGTACTGCACAAGTAGCGCAACACCCTCTTCGCTGCAGCCATGTGCTCTGGTCTGTGTCTCCCAGGAGCAACATAGCGTGCAAGAATGCTAAGAGGGTATGGAAGGTCAGGTCGTGTGCAGGTCATCAGGTACATGAGGCAGCCAACAAGCTCTTGGTACGGGCCACTCGACTCTACGGACTCATCCGAAGGCAGAGCTGAGAGCGAGTGGCGAGTAGACAGAGGAGTGGCCTGAGGCGAGGAGTACGTGAAGCCGAAGCGCTGAAGGACCTGCTGCACCATGTGTGACTGAGTCAAGGTAATGGTGCGGCGTGCTCTGTCCCGGATGATCTGCAAGCCAAGGTAGCTGCGCACTTCACCCAGGTCTGTGCACGTGTGTCTCTTCTGCAGCTCGGACTTCACGTAGGCGAGTCCAGCAGTGTCAGCTGTGGCAAAGACCAAGTCGTCGACGTATACGAGGATGTAGAACGGCGGCAGAGAGGTGTCGGTGCGCAGAAACAACGACGGGTCAGCAGTAGAGGGAGCAAACCCAAGAGCCCCAAGCGTAGTCCTCAGTGTGTCGTGCCACTCACGTGGTGCCTGGCGGAGACCGTAGACTGGTCGTCGGAGGCTCCACTGGGTGCCAGGAGGGAAAGTCCCAGTGAAGCCAGGTGGACGGCGCAGCCAGATCTCCTCGTGCAGGCTACCCTGCAAGAAAGCAGTGCTGAAGTCAAGAGAGTGAAGCTCGTAGTCGCGCTGAGCGGCTATGTGTAGCAGCACCCGAAGAGTGGTCATCTTCGGGGTGGGAGAGAAGGTCTGAAAGTAGTCAACTCCCTGCCGCTGACTGAAGCCACGAGCGAGGTACCGCGCCTTGAAGACAGGTGGAGAGCCTGGCGGCCGCTTCACCCTGA